GTTTCAGTATAGAGGGGTAACCCTATGGAATAACTTGCCATTCCATATCAGAAATTCAGCCTCTTTAGGCATTTTTAAGAAAACCTACAAAATTTATCTGAGTGAAAAATTTGTTGTAAATGGCTCAAGCCTATAATATGTATATTGTATTTTTTGTCCCTACAGAGGGCCCAATGAAAATTACTTTATTGTATATTGGCCTACCCTCTTTAAATAAAGTGTTAAATTAAATATCATGTACTATGGCTATGTATTTAATAGGAATATCGGTACTTCAAATATCATGTACTATGGCTATGTATTTAATAGGAATATCGGTACTTCAAATATCATGTACTATGGCTATGTATTTAATAGGAATATCGGTATTTCAAATATCATGTACTATGGCTATGTATTTAATAGGAATATCGGTATTTCAAATATCATGTACTATGGCTATGTATTTAATAGGAATATCGGTACTTCAAATATCATGTACTATGGCTATGTATTTAATAGGAATATCGGTACTTCAAATATCATGTACTATGGCTATGTATTTAATAGGAATATCGGTACTTCAAATATCATGTACTATGGCTATGTATTTAATAGGAATATCGGTACTTCAAATATCATGTACTATGGCTATGTATTTAATAGGAATATGCTATTAAGTAACAAGATAACATTTTGCCATTATAAACATACTTTGATTACTCAGTATCCCCATATTTGTTATTTGTAGACAATCTCTGAAAGACCTCAATAGTACAAAGATTCTGACTACAATTGCATACCAAATATGCAGTTGTTGCTTTATTCATTGTACAACACATGTCATTCTCATACTTATTATTTACTAAATTTACTAATGACTAAATTCAAAATGTGGGTGGCATCGCATGGTAAAAGTATAACTGAAGTATGATATACCCGGTAATAGTGTTAGTGTCCCTGAGTGCATACTTGTTCTATCTATTGTGTTTGGCTGCTCACCCATTTGTTGAAAAGAGTAACTTTCTATCTGCTTGCAAGGATCATCGCAATGCTATTTGGGAAAATGGTTTGGAATCATTGGTCTCTTTTGTCTTGAAAACTAGCGGATGACTAAGTTTTCCTCTAAAATCATTAGTAAAAAATGTTATTTTCAAATAAAATGTCTTACTGAGATTCACAAATACATGTCTTGCCAATTTTGTGTAATATTATTCTGAGATTTACTTGTTTATTTTAGGAGAGGCTGATTTGGTACAAGTACATGTAGACTCTTTGATAGATGCAGGTATACAAGCATCAGATATAGCTGTTATCGCACCATATAACCTACAGGTAAATACTGGTACATGTAGAAGTAATGACAGACTTATATTGTCAAATTATTCTGACTGTACATTCTGAACTTTGGCATTTTCTGATTAGATTGTAAGTGTGTAATTATGAGGTGCTTATAGATTTGAATCTATATCCTTGTTAGCATTCTGTCTCTAGCACCCAGCGAGCCACTTGTAGCGATGGACTGGAGAAACTTGGTTACAGTCTTGTATGTGTCAATTATTTTAATGTGTGAAAATAAATCTCTTCCCTTTTGTTTTAAATTCAGTCTCTGTGCTTTGGCTCGTCTATGCTCATTGATCATTCGGCTCATCCGCCCATGCATTCTTTGGACATGCCTGGACTGATTTGTTCATAGTTGGTACATAGGCATCTCATAGTTGTCTTAGAGTTTTGACCAACTGATGGCCATTTTTGATGGCCAACAGTTCATCAACCATTTCTCATTCAAACTTTGACATCACCAATGTTGGGATAATGATGCACATTATTTTGTTTCATGATTTGAGTCAAATAGCCGACTGGCATCCATTTCATTTATTTTTGTGTTTTTTACCTATTTTTCAGATAGACTTTCACCAATTTTGTTTCAAAGTTGATACAAATACCAAAAATAATGGTATATGATAATCACATCAGTTTGTTTTTTATTTCATTGACTTTTGACAGGTGGAAATTATTGTGCCCATAAACAGAAATCAACATGTCATTATCCTTTATTCATGTTTAAGGCAAATTTATTGAAACATGGTATGAACATCAAAAAGGATGGTTCACTGATGTATGTCAGTTTCACAGTTTAATATTGCAGTAATATGTTAAGCCTTGTACTGATGTAAAAGTGTAACTCTTTTTTAATGTAGGTGGATTTATTGCGTCTCAGATTGTCTAATAAGTATCCAAATCTAGAGATTAAAAGTGTTGATGGATTTCAAGGAAGAGAAAAAGAAGCTGTGGTTATTTCCTTGGTTAGGTCAAATGATAAAGGTATGTACTGATGCCTAGTAACCCACAACACCACCACTCACATTAAATATCAGCTTTGTATGCGTGTGTTCGTATGGTGATCCTCACCAAGATGAATCATGAACATTTCTTTATATGGTTGATTATTATATACATGTAAGTTTGGAATCTGGTTTTATAGCATTCAAAAGGTCTTCATTTTTGGATGAACTATGAGAAAGATACTTGTTTTCATAATTATAATTGCACTGTTGAATCATTGAATAGGATTGTCATTTTGTACTGCAAACCACTTTCATTTTATCAGACACAAACGATCACAAGGTGAATTGTTTATAAAACTTTGAAAATTTCATATGAGATTTTTAAGTCACAGTAGCTATTGTATCAAATCATCATACAGACAAAATTTAATGCTGTACATGCTTATCACTGTGGTATATAATAAATATATTGTCCAAATCAAAATACACTATTTAGTGATTTCACCAGACATGACACATGAAATATTTGCCTCATAGTTTAATATTTTGTGACAATTTAAAAGTCTAGAATATAGTTCAAACATAATAAACATTTGAGTACATTGTTTCCTCTATAAGGGAACAAAATAATTCATTTCTGTCTTGAGTACATTGTTTCCTCTATAAGGAAACAAAATAATTCATTTCTGTCTTGAGTACATTGTTTCCAC